CTATATGACTTAAAAGTGAATAAGTCTTCAACCTCTCTCGCAAAAAAAGAATGATGTATATATGACAGAACTTTACCTCTTCTTCAAAATCATTGGTTTGAACATATTCCTGCCCACCACCACCAGCACATGTTGATACCTCTTCCGTCTTGAAAAGGAAATCTTCAGCTTCCTCCGCCCATTCTTCCTCGATGAAGGGTGCCCCATATTGGGCCCCATTCTGTGGTCCAGAGCCGCTCTTCTGGAATATCCTGCACACAACAAAACCACCCTTCCACACCCACCACAAACCAATACGATCAAATAAAATTCAATATGGGGAAAAAAGGAATTTTTTTTGTTATATTGATCCCTTTTAATATTTCGCAATGAGTCAAATCATTGTAATTGCTATTTAGTCCCTCAAGTCCTATTAGCCATTTCAAATTAGTCCTTCTAGTTAGCTACCATTTGATTTGGAGTGAAATTTTCATTTAACATACTTCTTATCATGAGTTTTCAAATATACCGTCTTTTAACTTATACCAAATCCAAATATATTTCTCTAAACCTGTTAAAACCCCACCCATTTAAAATTGTTCTGTTAAATCCATTTCTTTTACGCTCGGAGGTTATTAGGCTACGTGTCTTGATGTGTGAAAAATTAATTGATTCCCAAGCTCGTAGTGATCGCAATTTTATATCTTTTATCTATATTTTCTAGTGGGCCCAATATACATCGAATTCCTGATTTAGAGAGTAAACCCTGAAGTATGGACATCAAAACACTTCCGTAGAATAATTATGTAACAGTATGTACATATATAGGCAGGAATAGTACACTTTCTATTAATATGTTGTTGTTCTAGATATAAATTTTTGAGACTCAACTCGGAAGAAGAGTGAGGTATTTCTCCTTTCATCAAATTCTGTTCTCATTCCCACATTGTATTCGATTCTATTGGAGAAACAATGACCTCTGTCAATATTTGATGGTATGAGCAGGGAGGGCAAAAACTAATGTGGGATCCTACTTGTAATGTCTACACTGTGACACCGAGAGAAGTGTGTGGTGAGAAGACGGCGTCGAATCCACAGAGGAGTGGTCGGGATTTGACGTGCTCTAGGACCGCGGTATGGTTGAATCGAGTCAATTGAGTAAGAAGTGTATAGAAACACAGCGAGCTAGGACCATACAGAACTTGAAGTCGTGTAGAGTTATTAACGTGATAGATGGAGTGCTATACCGCTAGAATTTTGATCGAGTGATTAAGCCTACTTCGGATGGTAGGCTTGCAATAAATTATCGATATGGTCGGAGTTGAAGAGTCGCCACATAGGCACGAGGAATACCAGAAGGTAATTGGCGTAACTGCTTTAGTGAAACGCGGTCTGTGATAGTGATTGTATCTCCTCGAGTGGAGGGAGCGGGAGACGTATATGGTCGTGGGACTGTCTCCTGAATCTCGTAATCATTTGTTGTGTTTGTGGATTACATTGGCGATCTCTCTATTATATTATATTCGTCTCTTTGTTATTTGTCCTGTTCGATTCTATATGCGCCACTTCATTTTAGTTTAGATTGATTACCCCTTTCGAGTTCTTATTATATATCCTCACATTACATTTGCTCTATATCTCTTTTGATTTATATTTTGTTGTTCAATTATTGCTTGTTCCCTAGTCCTCTAACATTGTTCGTATTTATACTTGTTAGGATGAATGTGAATTAGTTTTAATTGGAATTTAATCGGATTAGCATTTTTTTGTTCATATTTTTTATCTTCCCCGCCCTCCTCTTAGTTGTTTTTCTAACAGAAAGCCTTTATGTTCATGTATTGTCTGTATGGGTATGCCAAGCACAAACCACGTAACGAGCTCCTCTATTATGCGAGTATAGGAAACCGCGAGCAGTGTTCGTTCAGACGTCCGGACCATACATATCAGTCTTCTGTCACTTGCGGGCGCTCCTGTTCAACTCATACATTAATCATGTCTGTTTTTTTTTGATGAACGTTCCCCTCTGATCGATAATGATTGTTTCAGATGAATAATCTGGCGCAGAACGACACTATATTGTCTTTGTCTAATATCATCTACTCATGACAGGTCCTATATCCCTTTTCATATATCGATTCCTTGCAACATCAGTTTCATATAGATAGCCTCGCATATACTATTTTATTTATTTCTATGTATCTTGAGAATGAAGCTCTATATATTTTCATATGTTATATATTTATCTCCAAGCTATCGCCATAAGTGTTATCTCTTCGCTTCTAGGTGAGAAAAACCTTACCTGTTCGCAATGCCTGCTATCGTCGATTTCATTACTATTTTTTATATATATACGCTCTTTTTAATCGCGATGAGAAGAAGTCTTCTCTATGGTATGTGCTCTAATAGTAGCGAAACGCTAAGATCTGTGGAGTCTAGTCTAGAGCCTACTCCATACTTCGTTCATGAAAGTGGTCCTCGAGCTCTGTTATACTTCGTTGTCTATGAACCATTAGTCCCGCTTTTGTCTTTGTCTTGTTCGCATGTATAACACCCGAGGCTTCTTGCTTCTTCCATATCGACCCTAGAGCTTCGTGCGGAACTCCTCTTTTCTTAGTCGATTGCTCTCTTTCTTATTCTCAGTAAGCTTAACCCCTCCACTCTTGGCTAGCACCCTGTTTTATGACGATGACCCATGAGCGCGAACGCTCTCTCAACGAGATCTAGGAGCAACGCGCCGGATCGCTCTTCGAAGCACATAACTGCTGCGAGCTCGAAGGCGAAGAGACTTATACAACTTTCCCGTCCTGCAGACGGTCAGATGAGGTCAGTGAGCTGCGTACCACGCAGATGGCCGCTACACCACGCATATCTGATGCACAGGCCAGGCGAGTCTTTACGATCACAAACAGAAGCCGCATACAGGCCGAACCCCAAGCTCGCCGGACTTGAAGCAGTACAGACACGTCGGACGAAAAAGCAAAGCCGGCTGACATTCTCAACGCGAGGCGGGAGACTTGCGCCTTTACACGTGCTGTCAGATCACGGAGCTCTCTGCAATCGGTTTAGGAATAGAAATCTGAGATGGAAGCCTCACGCTTTGGAGTGACTGGAGCTATGCTCTCCCGCCAGAACCACGGAGCCGGGGTGAGGGGCAAAAGGCTAGCTCACCGCATTTATACTTTGGAGAGTTGCTAAGTGCTTCCCACATTTCTCTTTCGAATTTCTTCACATGGATTGAGTGTTTGGCTTCTTCTAAATCGGAGTGGTCACCACAACCCGCCAGGATATCGTCGGGAAGGGACACATATGACTCGGCCAATATTGTGGAGTCACGAGAACAAATCCTCAGGTGTTCATGCCAACTATGTATGAGAAGAGGCTCATAAAAGCAGTGCTTGGCTGATTCACGTATAGGATCTGTTAATTAGAAGATATTTGTAGGATTCGAAAAAACTAGGTTTGATGGAGTCGTTACGTGGGCAACAAAGAGGTAAAAAGGAATAGTGATTCGATTTTGGACAGAGAGAGAGGAGACGGACGTCAAGAAAAGCCCCTTCATTGTGCTCGAAGAGCTCGCGTCGTCAGTAGCCTCTGGAGGACGACATCTCACTTTAACTAGATGAGAGGCGTACGTATCGCGTAGAAGAGTATCTGTCATATTTCGACATAGAGCCACCTAAACTCTCTCTCGAGGAGGCGTTGGCACTAATTGGATACCAATCGCCATTTGTGTTCTCGAGCATAGGGAAAACGGAAAGTGGCGCATAAGGGTATATTCAGATTTCATCGGGACTACTTATATAGAATATTCACCCTATACGGATATTGAATCGGGAATAAGTAAAATTATCTTTCAGCCTACGAAACATTCTCCAACTTGACAGCACCGTGCCGGCCCCTTTCACAAACTTTAACAGCGTATAGCCATCAAATATTCTTGGGGTTGTTCATCCTCGTATAATCAAGTTAATGCCCCACCTGGTATCACCTACTCTGAACGAGCTAAACTTGGTATGTCTAGAGAAGATCTGCTGTGCGCGAGAAAATGGCGCAGACTTTGGGCGATTATGTCTTTTAGAACTCAAGCACTCGATACAAAGATCAAATGATGGAAGAGAGCGCAATAGTGGCGAACTAATCAAATCTATGGCTGACGGACGGTGGATCACTGATAGGTTATTGGTCTGAGTAGTTGTAGTGCTAGCAGCAACCCAATCAAAGCATCCTCTGATTGGGTATATTGATGAAAACAACCTTCTGCGGAAGAAGACGAATGGAGGCTTAATTTCAGTGAGATATCTGACGTGTGAAGGTTTAACTCTCTCTACCCCGTATTGTGGTATTTTCCAATTTTATATGAGGAATGTCCCAAGCCGTCAGAGCTACTTCGAAAAATATCCATTGGTTATAAGGACACTAGCGAGCGACGAAGAGGAAGATAATCACGGATCACATCAGATTGCTCATCCCACAGTCATTTAGGATGGGTGTCACATGCTGCGTAGCATGCCATATGACAGACCAGGCGATCCAGACATGACCCGTCCACCGAGTTTAACGGTCTGGGTCGCGAATGTCTAACTCGCAGGCTCGCCCAGTCAGAAACGGGCTGACGCGGTAATTTTTTGAGCTCAATGTCGAGTGGGTATTGCTAGCCGGCGCCGACGACCCGGCGCTAAAGCGGCGAGTCAGGCCCGACCCATGACCCAAGGGTCATGGGTCAACCAGTGGTTTTTTTTTATTTTTATTTTAAATTTATAAACTATATTAACTTTATATTTATATCTATCAAATAAATTTTAAATTTTTATTTTATTCTTTATATAAAATAATATATATATACACACACAGGCACAGTGACACACATTGTACAAAGATATATGTGGTTTAGACTTCGATGGAGGACCTACGTCCGGACTTCGATGGAAGTCCTACGTCCACGGAAAGTTAATAACTTTCCTTTACTTTAAATTTAAATAACAATTAAATAACAACTATAAGAGGAAAAAAGAAAAAAATGTTAATCATTAATATTCAATGAGTCAAATTCCACCAAGTTATATTTGTCAAATTCTCCAAGAAAATGTCTTGTTTGTTGTCGTTGTGATCGTTCTTATATATCGAGCCAGTCCTTTAAGCGCACACACATCTCCATGTGTGCTGCTATAAGTTATGTTCTCCATTCGATAATGATTCTCTCGCCTGCTGAAAAGGTACTTTCTGATGCGACCGTGGAAGCAGAAGGAGTTATATATCTCTAGCCATTGCAGATAGAACATGGTAGTTGTGGGCTGGGCCGAGTTGATGGTGGGTCGGGTCGATTTATCTCGTCCCAGGTCTGGAGCTGGACCTAGCGCGGCCAGTGACACGTATATGTCACGGGCCGGGTCGGACCCGCCCACTACGGGCTGGGCTGGATCATGACCCACGCCGGGGTGAGCCAGGGTAGCCTACGGGTCGACCTGGCCCATGCCCAACCCTAGTTGGAGGATGGGAGGGGCGAAGCTGCGAATATCAAATCAGGTGCAAATTTGCACATATAGATGATTAATGATTTGGTGTTGAGGGAGAGGGTTTGGATACACTTTTGAAGGATTCATTCGTAATAAAAATCATTCTTCTAAAAAATCCGATGTAGAAAATATTTATAGATTTTAAATTTGAAAATCAACTGTTTTAGGTTTATACGTATACGCATGAAATAAAAGATATTGTTTAACTTAGATATACATTTTTTAAAATATAAAAGTTTGCAATCTAAAACATTTAGTCAAGATCAAATATTTGCATTCGTTATAAACCTATTTTCATTGTATTGTTAAAACAAACAATTCATCATATATAATTCATTTCCACCTTTTACGGGTGCATGAAAAAACATAGATACATTCTCAAGGGTGTACATTAATTAAGAATCTCTTGTATAATATAAATTACCAAATGTTAATGATTGGAATCCAAACAATTACGCGATGCAAGCCACTCAACACCTAAGATATAGAAAGTCTTTCTAGCACAAACATGAATGGAAATAATTGTGCAAATGTTACAAAAAGTTGAAAATAACAGGCTAAAAAAAGCGCTTATGCCACTGCATAGTTAATAAACAACCTATTTGAAAAATATATATTACTAAAAATCCAATTAAAAAAGAAAGTCAAATATAAAATCTACTGCCTTTTCTCCCTTCCTTCCTCTTAATGAGTTGGGGATTTTCTCGAGAAATTTCCAGCCAATGTCGATAATCTGTTATTCGTCCAGACTGGAAGACTCCATCATGAGAACATAATCACCTCTCAGAATTAGATGAAACTTTCTGCATTATCATACTCTCAGCTGAGCTTATTGCTTCGGGCGATCCAGTTATCGTTATTTTCCTGTCACAACAGTATAATAAGAACAAGGGTATATATTAACACAAACTGTGAACAATGGACCGCTGCAAGGATATACCTATCAGAAGTGCCGGAAATGAAGTCACCTCGATCAGAAATCTTAATCCTGGCTCCGCTAGCCTGAACCGTCAGAGAAAACAAGTTTTAAGAGGAGGTAGATGCATTAGATATATTTATGTCTACATACTTGCCCCGGATTGAAACACCTAAACTTTACATATTTGCTTTATAATTCACCAGTCACTAAATTTTTCTTAGATTTCTGGAGACCTGCAACGCACCTAAAACTAAAATAGAAGCTCTACATAACATTTTAGATTTTCAGATGGAGAAAGATTAATGTCAGATGGCAGCAGCAACTGAGAGAGGAAAAAGAAAGAAAACTAGGCTTAAGGTCTTCGGTTTTCTGGAAGCCGCTCTTTGGGCACCATTTGTGGGCACCAATTCCAATTTCAGTTGTAGCTAGGGCTCACATCTGAATCAATCATTTGACATCGACATTTCACGCCTTCAAAATCTAGGTTCACACCCAAGATGGAATCATATGATCCACAGATATCAACGTTTTTTGTTTAATAAACATTGGCACGCCTTTATTAAAGAAAAATTAGTCTTTTATAGACTTACAAAATTTAATCACAACGGAGCTAATTATTAATAAGAACTTTAATCACAAAAGAGGTGTCATTTTGAATTATGCAAATGTTATGCCAGAAGCAAGCTATCCTGAATTTCAAAAGAAAAGAAAAAAGAGATCACTATGAGAAAACCTGAGTAATTTCCATGATGTTCCTCCCCCCACGACCAACGACAGCTCCAATATGTTCATCTGCAACACCAATTGTCAACGAGTTGTTTTCCTGCGCTCCAGCTGATGATCTCACAGGAGCCCCTTGTGATGATGAACCCTGCAAAGCATTGCTCATTATTTGTGTATTTCTATGGCTTTTTAGTAACATGATGCTTGCAAATGCTAAAAAGTGTAAAATCGCAAAAGAAAGCCCCATCCTCTTAAGTTAACCATGGCTATTAAAAAAACTTTACGAGAACGAAATAATTTTGTTCTGCATTTATCCGCATAATTAAAGAAAATTATCAACTTGAATTTCTTCCCAGAGATATTAATGAATCACAAAATTTTACTAACCCTGTTGTTTGGATATCTTCCTCCAATACCATTTGATCCATAGTTCACTCCATTGTAGGCTGGAGGAATTCCATAGCCAACTGATCCAGGAAAACCAGGAAAGGGGAGACCTAGTAGTTACGAGGAAGTATTAGCAACATAATGCAAGTTATACAGATTCAATAAGTATACTATCAAAATGGTCACAATAGCAATATTCACGCACATTACTAACTGAAGCTAAAGGTGTATAACTGGGATAAATTTAAAAGGAACAACTTTTTTTGTTTGACAAACATTGCAGAAGATACACGCGCACACACAAACACAAATACCTCTCTAGTACATGCCAAACAATTTCTCTTCACCTTCACCTTGTTATATAATCATACGTTTCAAATTTACATCATGTTCAGCGTGTCCAGGAGGATAAACAATATATTTTGGCAGTTTAAGATTATTATTGACCTTCAAAGTTTTTTCTATTCAGTTACTTATTTACTTTTTATTTGGCATGACATGTAAAGAGGGTTATGCATTTATCACATGCATGGTACATGCTTTTTACTAGTTGGTAATGTTAATTGAAAAGTAACGAAACTGTAACCCAGACAAAAAGTACTTTCATAGGTGAAACTATGAGGGTTTGGTGATAAAAAGAAAGCTTCAGGCAAACTACAAACATACTAAGCTATACCTGCATATGGAAATGGTGAATTCATCAATTGTGGATAATGAGAATCTTCGATAAGCTTTGAGATGATTAGAAAGATTGCTCGCATTTGCTCGTCAAGTGTTCCTATAACTGTCACTAGCCTGTCATTCATTCCAACATAATTCTGTTCTTGTGGTGATATCTTGATGTCTGCCTGGGAATCTTCAATAAATGACCTGCACATTTTTTTTTTTAATAACTATGTTTTCCAGAAAATACAGGAAACAATTTACATTACCAGCGGAAAAACGTGTTATGATTAGCATCAGCCTTTTGGAGTAACAGCAACATTGAATAAATCAAAGTATCAAAGATGAACATAAACATGAGCAACCTACAGGTCACTTCCACAGCTTAACTTTAGCTACACAGGCATCCCTGCATCTTTGGTTAGTATACATGATTACTTTCATCAAAATATATCAGATAATTCGCCTACTTCGCATTTTTGTTATTTAGGGCATGGACAACCAGAAAGTAAATGGAAAGAAGACCAAAGATTGGAAAGTGACCCCACTTTCTATTATTTTCCTGCTAGGTAAGTTGAAAGTGATTGGAGATTAGGTGGGAAGTGGAGGGTGCCACATCAGCATTTAACCCTTTTCACTTTCTCAAAAGAAAGTGAAGGGCAGAAGAGATAATTCTGTTTTCCAGTCCTCTTAGCATTTAATTTTATTGTTCACTTTCTACTGTTCACCTTCAATGATAACCAAACGTAACACGATAAAGTGAATGTCACATGACATGCCACCTCAACTTTCCATCTTTTCACTTTCTACCATCCGAACAACATTGTACAAATAGAAGGTAAATACTCTCTTAAAATTTATTTTCTATTTACTTCCCGGTTGCCAAATGTGCGCCCTTAGTTCAGCTACCCAGTATACTCAGCCTATGTGTTCAGTATGATTACGATCACATTCCACATGATTCATCCTCATTTCAATGCTATTGTTTTTCCTTTCTTACTCTCCTTATTAAATATCTAACTCACCATCTTCATTACTCTCAGTCTAACAGTATCTAGCACGAGCATTAGCAAGTAAATTATGAAATCATATGCATAATGCATTATAGTGGACGTAATTTTCATGCAGGTCAAAAGTGTTGAACCCAAGGTTTGAATCTTATTCTAGGTCTAGGTTTCATTTTTGCTTGATTAATATCGCTATTGGGAGGTTCATAGTCTTAGCACTTTCGTATTGGAAGTATTGGTACAGGAAATAAGTCAGTTGTAAACTCTTTATCCATTATTTTTGTACCCAATATAACGTTACCTAAATCTTAAGAATCATCAATAAAGACCTATCACTGTGTGTGCTTATTGATCAATAGCATCAGTTATAAACTTCAAGTTAGTTTCTAGGGATCAATAAAGACCTAGCAATATATGCATGCATTCACAAATTAATTTGTGTGTGCGCATGTGTATCTGCATGTACGCAAGAATTAAGTAACATAATATAAGAATATGCACCAATCTATGAGAATACTCTAACGACCAAGTAAATAATTGGCATGTAGGTAACAATGACCAGCTTGGACTGTGCATGACCAATCCTGTATTTCATAGGTAGCTGCAGACTCTTACATTACACCTCAATAATATGATTATACCCATATGTATGTATGTATGTGTCTGAAGACTTTAAACACATATAAACAGAACATAACATACATACGGTAATACACACTGGTGTCTCTGTAAGCATACAAGCTGCCAAGTCCTACTTTGTCAGAAATTTGAGACCCCATACTGGCTTCTCATATCCCCACCTATATCTAGCAACATAGGAAAGTAATGCAATTTTTTTTTGCCAAGATCTACTTTTGGGAAGGATCTGAGACCTCATACTTGCATCAGACCCCATACCCATAACAGGACCCCCATACCCATAACAGTACCATAGATAAGAGAATTAACGTAAATTGGTACTTGGTCCACAGCTAATTATTAATAAAAGGGTCGTTTTTTAGGACAAATGACAAGGCAGATGAACCTAGGAATTGGTTAAAGTCACTATAATAAGAAACTAATGAGAATCGCATAGTGATACAAACATCTAAAGGGGCTGAGAAAAGCTAATCTGATTAGGAAATATTTGGAAATCACAAAGAACGGAAGCTCATACTGATGCTAAGAGATTTCCAAAAGTTTCATCGAAGTAGTAGAGAAGTGTATGATTATAACTATGTTTTCCATCTTATACAAAGCTAGCAGACCTTCAGTTTAAATTTTTAAGATTGTATTTGCTAGTCTTTGAACGCTGCAGTAAATAACAATAGCACAGTGTGCCTGAAATTAATAATCTAGACAATAAGAAAGAAGAAAAGGTAAATAGAATAGTGTAACTACTAAAATGTAAACTCTAAAAATAGAACTGAATTTCACGATTCGTTAGTCAGAATCTGGAATGTGTAATAATAGCATAAATTATGGTTTACTCAGAGTCCTGCAATGAGAAAACTATACCTTATAGTTGATCCTCCTTTCCCAATGATGCCACCACATGAACTATTTGGAACAATGAGCCTAACTTTAGATCTACTATCAACATCACTACTTTCTTCAGCCTGCAAAATGCAGCAGATAGAAAAAGAGCTTCAGATAAAATTCAAGAGAGGTGCAGATGGATACAAGTTCTGTGAACGTTTAATATTACCTCACTAAGCAATTTTTCAAGGATCAATTCCATTGCTTTAACTACTTCACTAAGTGCTCCAGAGACCATGATTATCCTATCAGATGTTCCCGGAAAAAATTCATGATTGCGTGACAACTGAATACGAGCTCCAGATTGCGACTGAAATTCATTAATTGTGGATCCACCCTTCCCAATGATCGAACCAGCCGCAGTATTTGATACAAGAAACCTTATATGTGTCGGCTTCTCCTTATCATCTGAGCAATGTAACATGGAGAGCCAAGATTTGAGCAAATAAGTTATTGGCATAGTAAAACAGAAGAATACCATAGTAAATTAGTAATCATGGAGAGCAAAGAACTATGCAAATAAGTTGTTGGCATAGTATAAAAGGAGAACAGAAAATAAAGACGACATAATGGCATCTGACATAAAAAGAAAATTGGTAATATTGTTAAGCACAGAGATTGGTGGGGCTTACCCAAACATAAAAGCTATTGCCACTCAGATCATAGAACCGAAGCCATAAATTCTTGAGAAACTCAACATCCATGCACGTGATGTGATAATAAAGCAAATAAAGAGCCAACCTAATCAAGAGCCAAGCACTTCTGATAATGAAACTTACTCGTATTGCATTTCTAGACTCTTTGGAAAAATACCGTTGCACTTCTTCAAATGTCCATATGTATAAGTTGAAGGGTTTACAGGATAATGTAGATTTTTTCTCTCTCTACTTCAATCTGATGTTATCCTGGTAAGTTGAATTTTACATTTTAGTCACAAATGAGTAAGCATTTCAAGTTTATCCTTCTGTGGATTGCTCACCAAAAGTCCAGCTGGCTGAATCGTCCCCATCCTTCATAAAACCAACTACTACCATCTTTATGCAAAGGTCTCTTCCAATTCAGATCCTTAATTCCTGGAAAGAGTCAGCTTTATTTGTCCAATCCACATCGCTGATACTTTCACAATAATGCACATAGCATTCATACCAGAAGAAAGGAACCATAGCCATTGTGTTATAAACTATCGGGTCAAGAAGAAGGAAACAAAATAAATTACGATTCAACAAGCCATCAAAATACCACAATTATGGTTTCCAATCTTCAAGGCCACAGGAAAACAGCGGAAAGAAAAAATATGCAGAGTAATCTGGGCCTGCAAAAGGTATACCGCTGAAGGATTGTGAAGAGCAATAAATGTCATAAAAGTTTCGGGGAAGAGAGAACCAAGCTCTAGTCAACAAGGAAAATCACAGGCAACCTCTCAAGTCCATTGTTAAGACTACAAAATAAAGATTACATAATATTAAGGTGCCAAAGCATTGCAATATCAAGGTATTCCATTCATATGCTTTTTCTCAGGAAACTTTCCAGTCTTCCACCATATAGCAAGTTAGATTGCACGAACCATACTTTCACACAAATGGCAAGATTCATGGTCAACACTAACCAACCAACTCTTCAACATTATATGAACCAAAACAAAAGGAAAGTAGAGCAAATAAGAACATCGAAAATAAATTCAATAAACCTTAAACAAGGTTAACTTCATGGAATCAGCCTTTTCCTACTGAAAAGAACTGGACAGATGATTCGGCTCCATTTTTCTAGGTAGGCAAGTACTGAAGACAAAGATTCTAATGACATAGTCTAGGAATGGGAAGTTCATCAACCATTGGAAAAGTATCTAGTTGACGTGGCCTGTTTAATTTTGGAAGACTTCTCTTCCCAATGAGACAGGTTTAAAATGGACTTAGATAGAAGGCATAGTTAATGGGGTTCAAAACAATATTATGAATCAAGAGAATAATTACCAGAGTTCTATTTCTTTTTCACCAATGCCGTTATATTGAGATCTGCAATTTTATTGTGTGAAATGTATTTGTAATGGAAATTCAATGTTTGGTTGGGGGAAAAAAGTTGGTACAAAGGTTACATGACTTTATCATATATGGAATCGCTTGGAATACAATAGATTTGTTTGACAGGATATAAGGTTGCAGCTTGTGCTCCCAAAGTTTTTTATAATATTTAAGTAGATTTACCATTCCTAATTAAAATGTTGCAAATTAAACAATTGAACTATAAATCTAGATGCAGAATTTGCATCTGCAGCTCTATTTTCATGCAACTAAACAGGCCCCTCAAGCCCCTCAATAAATTAAGTGCTAATGTAGACAAGAGGAACAGATTTAAAAGTCAAAAGTTTTTAAGCAATAAAGCATGGAAAAGGACTACAATTGTCCTTAAGGACAAATTTTCAAAACCAACCTATTTACAAATTTAATAGCAGAAAACAACCTATTTCAGATTTAATTGCAAAAACCGACCTGGTTTCAGCACTGGAGCTGAAACCAGGTCGGTTTTTGAAAATTTTTATCCGAAACTTCACGGGAGTTGAACTCCCGTGAAGTTTCGTAGTTCAAATTTTTTTTTTTTTGTACTGGGAAACTTCACGGGAGTTCAACTCCCGTGAAGTTTCGAAAGTTTTTTCACAAAAACCGACCTGGTTTCAGCGCCAAGGCTGAAACCAGGTCGGTTTTTGCAATTAAATCTGAAGTGGGTTGTTTTCTGTGATTAAATTTGTAAATAGGTTGGTTTTGAAAATTTGTCCTTGTCCTTAACCTTAAATCTCAAGATCTTAAGAGAGCAGCACATCTTATCAACATCATGCAGACGAATTAAGGCATAAAGATCTCTAATTTAAATAAGGATCTGTCTTTGATCTGATCAAATGCTAGAGCATTTAGTAACTCTGTAAAGCAAAACTTAGGTCATAGCTCAATCCCAATCGATCTACCAATAACTAGAGAATATTTAGTAGCGATAATAGTAGTAATCATACTAATTTAAGGGTAAAGAAAAAGATGAGAGAACATAAAAATGGGATTTTTATCACCTTGAGATTCAAGAGGAGGAGAAGATCTGGGATGGTGTGAGTGCTTGGGGCCAGCTTCAGGCGACGAAACGTACTCAGGAGATTCCATGGATGATGATCGGAACGGAGAGGAGGCGGACGATGCGGCGGCGGCGGCGGGGGCGGCGGAAGGAGATCGAGATGGAGGACAGAAACTTAGGCCAGTCAAATCATCGGCTTTCGGGATAAAAATGATGAATGAAGATTGGATTGAGGGGTTTTTTATGTATATACCGCTATGTTAATTTTTAAATTAGACCCTTTTGATTTTGTTATTTTCATTTAGATTCTTTAATGTTTTCAAAATGGCTAAATAGCACTAATATACCCTATTGTTTCAACTACTATCACTTATACATGCCGACTTGTATTTAGTAGCAAAAAAAATACCTTATAAATTTTAAAACTTGCACTTCAATTTTTTTTAGCAGCACTTAAATACCCTCATGTCTTTATAACTAACAATTAAATACTCTAAGGTCTCTATAACTAGCACTTAAATACCCTAAAGTTTTTTAAAACATGCACATAAATATCCTCATTTATGCAAACTTGAGGGTATTTTAGAAACTTAAGGTTATTTAAGTGTCAAAATTAAAAAAATTTAGGGTATTTAAGTTCAGGTTTTAATAACCATAGGGTGTATAAGTGTAATAAAAAATAAGTGAGGGTATATAAGTGCAAGTTTAAAAAACTTTAGGGTATTGTCTTTCTACCAAATACTAGTGATGATATATAAGTAAAAATTAGATGGAAAATAGGGTATAGAAGTGATATTTAGCCTTACAAAATTATCCCTAAACATACTTGGTATTATACTCCTAAATTGTAATCAGTTCTTAATTTTAGTCTTTATCTTTTTAGAAAATAGAAATGAAAATTTCTATTTTAAAATACTTTAAATATTGTTAACGAACAATTAATGGTACTGTTTTCTTTCTTTTTCCATCTGTCTAAACTAGCAACAATAATCTCTATTCTTTAATTGTGCTCACGTTGATTGTTGGTTCCACTACCCACCAATAATTTTTTTAGAAAAAAGATGAGAACTCAGCATAAGATCTTAGCTCTAACTACATTAATTTATAACATGACTGTTTGCAAAGGAAAGTCCTAACTCTAAAGTCATGACTTATAAAATCAGTATCAACTTACATTATTAGCACAATATGTTTTTTCCCCGTATATGCACATATAAGCTGCTGATCTTGGAGACATCATTGATATGCTAAATAGTCGTGAACACCGTGCAAATGGCATATCATTTTTTTTCCCACTACAGTAATCCCTATTTTAAAATTTTTTTGACTTACTACAGTTCCATCCTCTGCTACAGATTTTCAAAAATGCTACAGTGTCCCCTTGTGCTATAGTGTTTTTTTCAAAAAAATGTTGCAGTATACAGTTTCCTGGTTGTCATTAATAATGCTACAGTAAATGCTACTGTGGCATTTTGTTGTGTGAGTGGGGGGCACTGATGCGTGACTTTTTCCAACCTCCCACACCCGATAGCCAACAGACCGGCCCACCCGAATAGAAACAACTATATATATAGCTGCTTAATGATTTCTTAGGTTTTGCAGGCAGGGGCGGAAATGTGTGCAGGAGTTTTGTTTTTCCTCTTTTGACTGCGGCAAGAAGAAACAAAGGAGCAAACGCAGGGGATTTGGGAAAAAGTGGTGGCCGGTGCAAAAGTAAAAGCAGAGGTTTTTCTTTCTAGGGTTTGGTGCATCCTTTTGTAGAGAGATATTGTGAGGGATCAGAGAGTTTGTGTGAGGGTTTAGATTGAGTGATTGTAGACCCTAGTTGTATTCTCTCCCTCTAATAGTAGATCTCCCCCTCCTTGCCCCGTGGACGTAGGCTATTTGCCGAACCACGTAAAATTGGTTGTATCGCTTTTGTGTGATTTGTAATAGCTTTTTAGGATTCCTCGACAGGTCAGTCCTAGAACTGATGAGAGGAAGAGACGATATCTCACTTTGTTGAGATATTCGCTTCAGATTCTTGTTTCCTTGGTGAGACGAGAATTCTTATTGCGACCTGACTCTCTTGTTGTGCTGCCGAAGTGCTGCCGAAATTTCCGCTGTGCGCAACAAGTGGTATCAGAGCCCAGATTTCAAATCTAGGGTTTTAGAGTTTAGTGGAGGAAGATTTTTGTGTGAAGCTTGGTTCTTGGAGTTCTAGGCTTCGGTGGAGATAGCATTAGGAGTTGCCGTTGGAGATTTCGCTTTCCTCGTGTGGACATGAGATCTATTTAGAATCCGATCTAGGGTTCAGTTGGGGGGTTCCTAATTTCTATCAAATTTATTCTTTCTCCACAATTTGGAGTTAGTTTATAATGGGAGAAGAAGGTGAAAGCAGCAAATCGATGGCGAGTACAATACAAGTTGGTTTTCAGAACACTAAGATTAGTGTGGTGAAGTATGACGGCAAAATCAACTTTGGTTTATGGATGAGCGACGTACATGATGCGCTCAATGCTTAGAATCTGGAAGAGACCATCATGGTCCACGAGAGGCCACCTAAATATGAAGAGACAGTATGGAAGAAGATGAATAAGAACGCTTGTGGGGTGATCAGGTCCTGTTTAAAACAGGAGCTGAAATATGATGTGATTAGGGTGACGTCTGCAATGAAGATGTGGAAAATTCTCAACAATAAGTATCTCACAAGAGTATTGAGAACAGGTTGCGCTTGCTGCGAAGACTCTTCAGATTTCAGAAGTCCAGAGGCACCTCGCTAGTGGCTCAGGTGAACAACTATACCAGTTGTTGTCGGACTTGGCGAATGTTGATGAGAAGATATCGGATGAGTACAAGGCGATTATTTTGTTGGGCTCCTTACCGGATGTGGAGTATGATACCTTCGTACTCACTTTGTTGAACGGGAGATCTTCTATCAGCTATAGTGAAGTGACTAACGCTTTGACGAACTACGATTTGAGGAGGAAGGATAAGGAGACTTCCCGCGCTAGTACTTCAGGTGAGACCTTGTCGACGAGAGGTAGAAGCCCATATCCGAAAGGTGGAAGGTCAAAGTCTAGAGGCCGTCACCAATTAGCAAAGAACCAATGTGTATTCTGTAAGGAGCAGAGACATTGGAAAAGAGACTATTCGAAGCTCAAGGAGAAAGAGAATGGTAAGAAAAAAGGCCCAAAGGCCAATGAGGTGAATATTACAAAAGGCGATGATTCCGATGATTCATGCTTTTCTCTACTAATTACTCTGGAGGTGAACCATGTGGATACATCAGATTGGATGCTTGATTCCGGCGCTACTTATCATGTGACCCCTAGACGAGACTGGTTTACATTTTTTGAGAAAGTCGACGGGGGTGTTGTTATCATGAGAAATGATCAATCCTGTGGCGTTTGTGGGATAGGTACCATGTGGATTAGGATGCACGATGGAGTAGTCCGTGAATTGAAGGAGGTGAGATTTGTTCCTTAACTAAAGAAAAATCTTATCTCAGTTGGAGCTTTGGAGGCGAAGAGATTCAAGGTGACTTTCAATAACGCTGTAGCGAAGGTTACTAAGGGATCATTGGTAGTGATGAAGGGAGTCCGCAATCGAAATTTGTATTATCTGAAAGGAAGCACTGAGATTGGCCAAGTTGCTTCGGCTATTTCAGAAGCGGACATGAGTAGACTTTGACACTATAGGTTGGGACACACAGGTGAAAAGTCACTACAGGCATTGTGCAAGCAGGGGCTATTGAAGGGAGCCAAGAGTGGGAAGATTGAATTCTGTGAACACTGTGTTCTTGGTAAGAAGACGAAGGTGAAGTTCGGGACTGCCATTCATCAGACAAGGGGCATCATGGACCACGTGCACACAGACGTTTGGGGTCCCACCAAGACTGCATTACTTGGTGGTCGACATTGGTTTGTCACGTTCGTAGATAACTATTCTAGACGATGTTGGGTGTACACCATGACAAAGAAGAGTGAAGTTCTAGATATATTCGTGAAGTGGAAGAAGAGATTAGAATTGCAGACTGGGAGAAAGATCAAGACGTTGTGATCCGACAACGATGGTGAATATACTTCAGACCCCTTTCTGCAGCTATGTCGAGACGAGGGTATAAAGAGGTACTTTACGGTTAGTCATACACCGCAGCAAAATGGGGTGGCAGAAAGGTTAAATCGGTCTTTACTGGAGAAGATCCGATGCTTATTATCGCAAAGTGGTTTGGATAAGATCTTTTGGGCTGAGACACTTACATATGCGAGTCACCTCATTAATAGGCTGCCTTCATTTGCGATTGAGGGGAAGACCCCTATGGAGAAGTGGTCGGGAGAGCCAGCACACGATTATGAACAGCTCAAGGTATTCGAGTGCCCTGTATTTTATCATGTGAGAACTGATAAGTTAGAACCTCGAGCTAGGAATATCATATTTGTAGGATTCAAGCGTGGTGTCAAGGGATACAAGCTTTAAGATCCAGTTGATAAGAATATTGTGCTGAGTAGGGATGTCACGTTTGATGAGGCTTCTATCTTGAAGATTCCCAGCTCTCATTAGGTAGAGAGCGACCCGACGGAGGAGATATCATAGGTGGTGGAGATCGATGTAGCTCCACATTGTCCAGATGGTATAGTATCCATTAGAGTGCTGACTGAGGTGACACCGGGCGAGCATGACGATGACACGGGGGATATGAGTACTGATGTGCAGGATCAGGGACCGACGGCTCAGGTTTAGGATTCTATTATGGTTCGGAGATAGGAGAAACATACAGATGCCAGCACGGTATGCCGACACAGTTACGTATGCACTTCCGATGGAGAGTATCAATGAGATGGTGCCTACTACATTCAGAGAGGCCGAGCAGAGTGTTGGCCTTTTTGTTTTGATGATGTTTAACAAACAATTTACTTCTAATGTTGTTTGTCTAATGTTTGTATTTTTGTATTTATTCTAGGCAAACAACGAGTTGGAGGATGGATGGAATAGAGCTTCAACGATCATATCCAATGGAGGTTGGCGGAATAGTAGAGTGAAGCCTTGCTATCAAGTTAAAGATCCAATTACAAGTTTCATCCTAGTTTACCAAGTTGAGCTACAATGAAGATCAATATCAAGTTTGGATAACATTTAGTTTAGGAGTTTATATTATGTGTGTTAGTACTTTAAGCTCAATCATATACACACATACACGTTTTGGTTTTGTATATATATAGTTATATGTATATA